AAAAAAAAAAAAAAAAAAAAAAAAACATTCATTATTTATACCAATTATGCCTGATTTTACCAAATTAAAAAAAAAAAACTAAATTTGGTATTTCATAATTTTTCATCCTGGTTATTTCAATTTTCACTTCACTGATTCATTCGGGAGAAACTATTTAGAATCATAAACCAAAATTGATATTGCAGGAAGGATTGTTTGGACTTCAGTAGCCATCTTGGTGTTTCTGTTCATGGCTCAAAGATTAGGAACCGACAAAGTTGGCTACACTTTTGCCCCAATCATCTTCATTTGGTTTGCTTTCATCGCTGCAATCGGTGTTTACAACTTCTTCAAATACGACCCAACTGTGATCAAGGCCTTAAATCCAGCCTACATTATTTATTATTTCCAAAGGAACAAAAAGGACGCTTGGATTTCTCTCGGCGGCGTTGTTCTTTGCATTACAGGTTCTTAAATCTTCTTATATTCTTTACCCTTACCCTTTTTCATCAACAACAGACCTCACAATCTTTATAACTACACGACGAATACAGGGACGGAAGCATTGTTCGCCGACGTCGGGCATTTCAGCGTCCGATCGATCCAGCTGAGTATGTCCCTAGTGACCTACCCAGCTCTAATATGCGCTTATGCAGGCCAATCCTCGTTTCTTCGCAAGCACAGTGATCTAGTTTCGAATGCATTCTACAAGTCCACTCCTGGTATAAACATTCACAAAGTTCATATGATTTCATCCCAACAATTATCAACTATATTATCCTATGTGTATGATTGGCAGGAAGTTTGTATTGGCCAATGTTTGTGGTGGCAGTTTTAGCATCAATCATAGCAAGCCAAGCCATGATCTCAGGAACTTTTTCTATAATTCAGCAGTCACTTTCACTTGGATGCTTCCCAAGAGTTAAAGTGGTTCATACTTCTGCTAAGCATGAAGGCCAAGTTTATGTTCCTGAGATCAATTACCTTCTCATGTTGGCTTGTGTTTGTGTTACTTTGGTCTTCAAGAATACTACAAATATCGGCAATGCATATGGTAATTTACTCGCTCAAACTAATTCAACTCAACTCGACCAGCACTGACTAAATATAGATCTTTGCTCTAAACAGGAATAGCAGTGGTGTTTGTGATGACACTCACGTCCTCCTTCCTAGTATTGATAATGGTAATGATATGGAAAACCCACATCCTGTTGGTAATCACTTACGTTGTCATAATTGGGAGCGTGGAATTGGTGTATCTGAGTTCAGTTCTTTACAAGTTCGACCAAGGAGGGTATCTCCCTCTGGCTTTTGCAGCTGTTTTGATGACAATAATGTATGTGTGGAATAGTGTGTTTAGAAAGAAGTACTTTTACGAGCTCAACCACAAAATCTCTCCAGAAAAGTTCAATGAAATGGTGAGTACCACCAGCTTTAGAAGACTTCCTGGCATGGCATTTTTCTACACGGAGCTCGTTCAAGGCATCCCTCCCATCATCAAGCATTACATCGAGCACGTGCCCGCTTTGCAGTCTGTGCTCGTCTTTGTCACCATTAAATCGCTTCCTGTCAGCAAGGTTCGGAGTTGATATTAGATATAGATATATGTTATATATGACAATGTTTAAGGTTTTATGTATGTTGTTAACTAGGTTCCAGCAGACGAACGTTTCCTCTTCCGACGAGTAGAGGCAAAGGAGATCGACGTGTTTCGTTGTGTAGTTCGATATGGATACACGGAAGTGCGCGCCGAACATGAGCTGTTCGAGAAGATTTTACTGGAAAGATTGGAAGAGTTCGAAAGTGATGGACGGGCATTGTGTAACGGCGATGGGAGAGTTGAAGAAGCTGAAGAGGATAGGAATGGATTTGGAGGCGTTGCAGAAGCATGGAAGCAAGGAGTTGTTCATTTCATTGGGGAAACAGAGGTGGTTGCTAAACCGGGTGCTGGGTTTGGAGATAGGATTATGATAAACTATGCGTATAGCTTCTTGAAGAGAAATTTGAGGGAAACTGATCAAGTCTTTGAAATTCCTCACAAATGTATGCTCAAAGTTGGAATGACCTATGAACTTTAGACAACTTCATCATAATTTGATGTTTGTTTATGAAGCAGATATATGTATAGAAGATAAAGCTCTTCTGTTCTTCAATGTTTTAATTAATGACACAAAAACAATCCTTTTTAGCCTTAGGGTAACACAAAAGTGAACCCAACTATTATATTTGTCTGTTTTATTTTGTAACTATTTTTTATTTTTGTCTTATTTGGTTAAGATTTTTATCGGGTTATTATAGGACATATTTAACCATTAGGATTAGCTTGTTGTGAGTGACTTCAGCCAAGAACATCGAGGTCTCACTGTTGGAGTTAGTTTAACGTGTTGTATAATGGTGCGTGCCCTGTGGCCCCTGCATGCACCATGTCTTATTATGTGATAGGCCTATATGATGTATGAATTATGTGACTGTTTATGCTATAAAACGTAATGGGATTATGTTGACTGTTGACTGTTTATGTTATATGAAGTTATGAATAATAGGTTAGTAATATATGCCATGAAAAAGTTAATCAATACCATGGATACACATAGTATTATTGAGTCATGTCATGAGATGTTTATGCAACTGGAATGTACTTACATTTCATGTTATGTAATATGCCATGAAATGTAAGTCATGTGAGATGCCATGTAATGTAAGAAATGTATATACGATGTTAGTATTGCTTATGTAATGCCATGTTAGATATGTCAAGGGACCTCATGCATATATGTATGTCAGGTGCATTGAGATTCTTTCCCTTTATGTTCCGAAAAAATGAAATACGATATTTATGTTCGCCGTGATATCATGCGGGCCCTTTTCTGTTATGTGGTACCCAGTGACGTGTAACACGTGTGCCTGACCAAGTCAGGCCCAGGGGTATGTATACAAGCCCTCCTAGTGGGTCCATGTACGCGTACATGGGCCGTTTGTGAAGGAGTACCACACACCCACCCTACCCAGAATAGAAAAACACCCAAAGCTATATAAAGTTTATGAAAAGTTAGGTCCGCTCATATGTTGCATGTGTTTGCATTTCTAACACCAACAGTGGGCTGACTTACTGAGTATTTCATAAAATTCTCAAGTCATGTGTTATCTACATTTTTACATTTTTAGGTAAAGGCAAGGGCTAATGTATGGTTGACAGCGGAGCTGAGGACACCATGTAAGTTGGAGAAGGGATTATTGTTTCGTTAATCATTATTGAAAGAGTGTTTGATAGTTATTAACATTTCTAGAAAATAACGGTTATAAAAGCCGGTGAAGTGGGATGAGACATTTTAAAATCTAATACAATTATTTGAAGTCTAACCCAATCCAAATAAATTTATAACAAACCCATAATTAGATTAAGTTTTTTGTAATCTAGACGTTCAAAATGCCTTTCTCCATGGTAATCTAGACGAGGAAGTCTATATGTCTTTACCACCAGGTATTCGTCGACAGGGGGAGAATACAGTATGTCGGCTCCATAAATCTCTTTATGTTTAAAACAGGCTTCTCGCAATTGGTTTTTCATATTCTCTGCCACTATACAAAATGCAGGCTACACCCAGTTCAAAGTAGATTACTCTTTATTTACTAAGAGTAAAGGTACTTCTTTCACTGCATCTCTTATCTATGTTGATGATATTCTGTTGACAAGCAATGATCTCAAAGAAATTCAACATCTTAAGACTAGTTTACTCGAGAAATTTCTTATCAAAGATTTAGAGAATTTGAAATATTTCCTAGGTATTGAATTTTCTAGGTCTAGAAAAGGAATTTTTGTCTCAAAGAAAGTATGCTCTAGACATTCTTCAAGACACAGGTTTTACAGGAGCACGTCTAGAAAAAATTTCTATGGAACAAAATCTGAAACTTTCTTCAACAGAAGGAGAAAAGTTGAATGATCCAAGTAAATATAGACAGTTGGTTTGCAGATTAATATATTTAACCGTTACTAGGCCTGACATAGTGTAGTTAGTTCGTATGCTTAGTCAATTTATGCATGAACCAAGAAAACCGCATTGGGATGCAACTCTTCGAGTTCTAAGATACATCAAAGGTACTCCTGGTCAAGGACTTCTACTACCATCTGAAAATAACTTGAGATTACAAGCATATTGCGATTCAGACTGGGGTGGTTGTCGAACTTCCAGACGGTCTATTTCTGGGTTCTGCATTTTTCTTGGAAATTCAATTATTTCTTGGAAGTCAAAAAAATAAACCAATGTGTCCAGATCATCAGTAGAAGTCGAGTATCGAGCTATGGCAAATACTTATTTAGAGTTAACTTGACTAAGATACATTCTCCAAGACTTGAAAGTTTTACTGTCCGAATCAGCATTATTGTACTGTGATAATCAAGCAACATTACACATAGCAGTCAATCTAGTTTTTCACAAACGTACGAAACACATTGAAATAGATTGTCATATAGTTCCTGTGCACCACCGGAGATTCGGTCGGCCATTGGTGGAGAAATTAAAAAAGCAGAGAGAAAATAGAAGATGTGAATTAATTGCGGGTGTGATAATGATGTAAAGAAGAGCACTATTTATATGAAAAATTAGACAGCTGATTACAAAAAATAAAACTCACCCTCCCCCCCTCTGGCATTCATTAAAACAGTCCAATGTATTCTGTTCAAATTAATTCTTCAACTTAAACTTATTATTTTATTTTTTACTTACCTATTTTGCTTAAATTAAATATTATAAAATTAAATATATCTTTATGGTATGGGGCAATTCTTTTGGTTTGTTAAACAAAGTAACAAAAAATAAAATAAAAAAAAAATAATAATAATAATAATAATTCATTCAATTATTAAATTTGAAGTTTTAATAGAAAAACTTTGACTTTTTTTATAGATAAATTGATATTTTTTTTTCATAAATTTAATCCTAAACTTTTAAATTTACAATTTTAATTTCTATTATTATTATTATTATTATTATTACGCCTTTTTTACTGTGTAAACTCCAATATTTATTTAAATTTGTATTCAAAAATTCATTTTTATAGTATCCACTTTTCATTTCCTTAATTTCTATTTTTCTTTTTACATATATTTTCCTATAGACTATAATCTATATCCTAGATCAACATCATTTCCTTAATTGTATTTTTCCCATGTAACTTACCATTTTAATTCTTTAATTCTTTTCTGGTGGTCTGGTCGTGCTCTTATTTTAGATGCTAGAGATAACCTTTGACCGTAAACTTTTGATGATGCTGAAGAAACGTCATTTTTTTTAATAATCGTTAGACTAAAATAACATTACTAACATCAAATGAATATATATAAATAAGGATTATGGAAGAAAAATACAGTATTCTTCAACTTTTCATTATATAAAAAAAGGGTTACATCTAAAAATATTATGCTAAATATGAGATAGAAATGGAAGGTGAAAATTAAGAAATGAAAAGAGAGGATAAAATCACTCACACGCTACAATGGTGGGCTCCAATGCAGCCGAACTCTCCCTCTCACACATTTCTGAACTAATGCGTGTAACTCCCTCCTGCATCCACATTTCTTTCGTTCTTTATTTATTTGTTTATTTTGTAATTTTCATAAAATATATATAATATACTAAATTATATTTTTTTTATTAGGTTTAATAAATTCTTAAAAAAAAATTTAGTAGATAAAATTAGGATTTTTTAAAGTTGTTTTTTTATTATTAAACTGAAATTTTTAATAAAAAAAATTCAAGAAAGTAATTAATAATAAAGAATAAAGAAAAAAGAAAAAAAAAATACCTTAGCCAAGTTCCTAAAATATGTGGTAGTGTAATTGGGCATAGAGAACAAAATGTGTATGACGTCTGCCAATACCAACTGGGGCTGTGACATTGCTCCGTCCAACCAATCTAATCATTAAACCATTAACTATTTATATATAAATTCAAAATTTTAAACTTTATTTAACCTACAAAGCAAAGATTTTAGTGTTACCGAGAGTAGTGGAGTCGAGATATCGTTTATCGAATCGCCAGATGCTCTGAGTGGAAAGAAACGAGAGGCAAGATTGGTCTTGAATGTTGATCAATTCGAGAAACGTGGACATGTTGTACACTGTTGGGTCTAATGTAAACGTTTCATCGATGATCACCTCCACAGTCTATCTAGAAAAATAATAGAATACTAAAAATAACAATAAGGGATTTAATAACTTTTTCTTATTTTAATTAAGCTTATAAACAATACTTACGCATAGAATGCCATGAAAGGCATCTAAGTCGTCGGGATTTGAGACGTTGTACGTGATTTTGTTGATGGAGTCATCCACATTCTCTCCTCCCGCATCTTCTACGTACTTTTTCAATCCCATCACGGTGTGTTAGTCAAACATATATAGACTTATCATGGTTTGACTAAATCGAAACAAATGAACGTTACCTTAAGCTTGTAAGCATCCATTGTGAAAGACCACATGCCCTGTTGAAAATTTTAAATTAAAAATAAAAACAAAAAACAAAAAAATAATTTTATTAATAAATAAATAGTGTGGAGATTGTAACATCAGAGTAACCCATCCAAGCAACAGTGGGTTTGAAAGTCTTTCGGGTGGTTGCTATGTTCTTCAGGCACATGTAATTTTCCTTCATCTGCAACAACATATTTATATTTACCCAAAAATTAAAAATTTAATTTTATATCAAGTTGTATCATTTCAGAACTTTGGGTAAGTTTTTATTTGAAAATTCATTGTATTATTAAAAAAGTATATATTATTTTAATCTTTTGGAAGTTAAAATGTCAATCCATTTTAACCCATAGTAAAAAATGACTTACCGCAGAGTAAATTTGAGTGGCTCTTGCTTCAAGGTTTGCAAAAACTCCCAAGAACTTTATCCACTCTGCTCTCTAAAAGTACCGATCGATAGAAAATGGTAAAAATAAAAAATAAAAAAAATCAAAAGTTAAACTACTTTTTATTCCGATGATTTTAAAATTGTATAAAATAATTTTTAATAAATAAAAAAAATTAATTAGAAGAAAAAAAAAATGGCTGTACTTGCAAAGGCGTATCCTCGGAGGAAGGAAGAAAGGTGGCGAAATTGCAGGACTGTGGTTGGTCCACGTCAGCAATAAAGTGTGCTGCAAACTGTGCCAGCTGTTGGGTTTCCGTTTTATTTATAATCTGAAT